TTAGTGTGGAAAGGTCCATTCGCACATAAATAAAGTTCTCTAGTGGTTTGAGGCAAACTGTCAAGAGCAAAATTAGCCGTTAATTTAAGTTTACTTTTTGTTGACTTTTTTGAAGAGTGACTGAATATTATCTGTTTGAACAGTTTGACCTCTGAAGGACAAACGTAATCACTAAAACAAGATGGAAGAAGAAAAGAATCCCCTAATACACCTTAACAATTTCAAATTCTTAATTTCTCGAACGTTTTTCTCACGTCGTAGAGTATCGTGAAAAATGTAAAATATAAATTTTAAAGCCGATATTGAAATACACTTGTAGAAAAATAAACCACATAGGCAGATATAAAATTAAACGAGAATATGTAAGCTTGGTATGTACTACTACTTGCAACAGGATTATAGTATCTGGAATTAAAATAGTTTAAATGTACTTTAAACCAGGGCTGATCAAAGAGAAGAATTCGAGTCAACTTCCGATAATAGTGCGTTGCAGTTTATGTCACTCACCTTTCACTAGCTAATAGCCCAAGTCACTAGTGTAGCCCGAGCATCTCTCCTCCCCTTGGGATGACTCGACAAACAGCAGATAAGCTCGTGCACGCCCACGTGATCAGTCCTGTTCTAAACAAAACATTAAATTAAAAGAATTGTTCCCGAGTTACTAACATCCGTTGTCCAAATTTTATATGAAACAAACGAGACGCGACATACTTTCCAAACTACCAGCGTTTATCTTTCTTTTGAATAATTTTCCCGTCAGCAGGTCTCTTAAAATACTGCGAATACAAAAGAAAAATATTCAATCTTTCATATGTCTTGTAAATTAATTCATGCATTTTAATAAAAGATTCAATACACAGCTTTAAACAGGTACTGCAAACTGGAATCCCTTTTACCTTCCACGTCTCTGTTAACGTTCAAATTCCAAGAAGTCTCTGAAAGGTTGAAACCCTATTATATTTACTCTCTCACAACGCGAATTTTCGTCCTTTTTAATAATTCCTTCAGAAGGTAAATAAAGGACCATATATTTTTTCTGTCATTGGTGTAATGCAGAGAGGAAAATTTTATGGAATTGTTTTTGTTGACAGAGTAGAACCTGGACATTCGTTGACCCAGGTGGTGCGGATGGTATCGTGTAATGTACGCGTGCGTCAGAGCTCTCTGCCTCACTTGCGCGCAGTGCAGTTGTGTTCGTTCCAGACAAAGGGAGCCGGTGTTCACAGACACATGTGCTTTAGAGAAAGGGCAACAACTCGTCAAGTAGGAGAGAATAGTACATAATTCAATGGTTTGTTTATTAAGTCAGTCGCAAAACGAGAGACATTAGGCAATGTTTCTGTATCATTTTCTCTCTATCTCTTTGGACTGGAATAAACAAATCGGTTGTATGAACCAGAAGGTCGTATCTGTTAGTTGTTGAGAGTTATTTTCCAAAGGGTTTAATATTTCAACTAATAAGAAAATGAATCATTTTAAAGTTTGGTTTCCAATTTTTAATAATAAAAGCAAGTCATGCACAATCACACACTTGTGAACAAATCCATGAAATCTATTTGGACGTGTTACTAACGAATCCAAAAATTCAGTGTACCATCCATTTCACATTATGAAAATTAAACACGCTTTCATGATGTGTTCACAACAAATTATTGACGGGAGCGACATAGTTGCTAGGCGTAGGTCGATCGGGACAGGGCAGAGCGGTGCGGGCAGAGCGAGCGGGGAGGACAGAGCGAGCAAGAGGTTCGGATAGGGCCAGCGGTACCGACAGAGCGAACAGAACAACTGGGTCGAGCAGGAGATAAAAGATTCGAACAGGAAGTGCGAGGATAACTAATAGATGATTGTAGTTGTAAATTAGTACTATGGTAATCAAGTTGGACGATTAAAAAAATAATTTGTTAGAACGGGTACAAAAATCTCCCCATACAACGGTAATTATTAAATTGGTATTTCCTATCTCTTAAAATTGAGTTACATTTACAGCACGCAATAATGTAAGATTTCATTAATAACTATTCAAATTTCTCAAAACATAAAATCTTCAAGTCACTCGTTATTTCATATACTCAAAATAGACTTTTCCTGTAACCACAAAATTCAAATCTCATTGATACAAGTGAAACTTATGATGGACAAAGCAGGTACAAAGCAGGAATTTTCGGAATCCTGCAGTTTTCCAGTCTCTAAATCCACCACTAACTCGTTAATATTCATAACACATCATTATTACCTACAGCTCATACCAATGCAATGACCATTGTTTAGGTATTAGAATCGCAAGAAAAATGTAATCTTCCGTAAGTCACATGATATGGTGGACAAAGCGAGAACAATTATTTTTTACGTCTCACTTTGGAGGTGAAATGAAACCGACTGCCCCACGTTGTAGAATCACTTTCATGTAAGAGACACTCAAGACTAAAAGAAATCTCTGAGCAAAATTATAATCACTTGTTTCAAGCAACCTATAATACTTTCTTTCTTAGCTTGTAGGCAAAGGAGCGTAACGAACTTTGCGCGGTCAGGCAGAAGAGCAGGCCTGATGGCAATTGAATTCTCGTCACTTGCGCTCACGCGTGCGATCGAACAACCCGCCGGGTGTGTTCGCCTGTGAGATCGACTGCGGTGCCAAGAGCACGTGCGCAGCTGTGCTGCTGCACGCCCCGTCCCCTTTCCCCGCAGTCGCAGCCACGGCTTCATCGCTTGCTCCGTAACTGAATTCCTAGCACCTCCCCCATCGCTAAAGCTGCCTCTCTCACCCTACCAGCGATCGTGTCTTTGCTCGCTACGGCGCCATCACCACCGAACTCCCTGCTCCACCGCTGCCGTCACCATACCCTTCGACGTCCGGTCGAGTTTAGCCTCCGGTCGAGTTTAGCTCAGCCAGTTGAGCCGGCATCACTGCTATCTTTGCTGCGACTCTGAACAGGTCATAGGATTTGAGCGTGGATGGTGGAGAATTTTTGACAATAGCTACGAAGCTAGGTTTAATTCAGTCGTGGAAAATAATTCTAGTGACCTTTGGTTTTGTCCGCCTAATATTACGTGAGTGCCCGGGCACTTCTCTAACGCATACTGGGCCCGATTTTTCCTTTCTTTTCATTGTCCTACACTCAGCTCTTTCACATGGATCATATTATCACACATTCGTGCCATCCCACCTCAAATCGCACAAAAAAACAAAATTTGAACTTCACATTTTTAATTATTTTCTATCTTTCTACTTATTATATAGATCAAATAAGTTAACATTTGTATTTTTATTTTTCCTGACTTTATTATTTTCGGAAATATTGCATAATGAAATATGCTAAAAATGTCTCTCATCACTAATTTAAAAATATCATATATTTGCGAGCTAATTACAGAAATGTCGTTCAAATTCCATTCTAAACTTAAAACATGTTTAATTTTTTAAGATTGTGCAAAATATTAAATTTCCTTTACATTTATTAAAATTAATTTTTGAAAATTGAATAATATTGTGAACTCGATGAGCTAATTTTTTTTTTGAAAAAATATTAATAAACGCACTGGAGTATTGTTACCATCTCCAGAAAAAATCTAAGGGAGAACTTATAGTAACTTTAAAAAATATTCTCTTATTAGGAACCATTATGTAGTACATCGCTGCAACAGATACTGGTCCCTGTTACTGGCCGTCGGTTTCATTGAATGAAGCAGTAATTTTAGCATTAATTTCTTGAGGTGGTACAACTTCACACACTTCACGCCAATTTTCAGGTAAATAAAGAAACACGTGTGTCTTTTCCTAGTGTTCAGATTTTAAAAAATGTTGGTCAAAAAGTACGTTTAAAAAAAGTCGTGCCCATTCTTGTGTGATTTCATCTGGAATGGCTCGTATTTTAATTCGTTTCGCTGTCACAAATTGATTCTGAAGGTAGAGTGAGAATCTGAGATACAATTATGAAATAACTCTTGAGACCCTAATCAGGCACACGATCCTTCATTTAATACTTCTTCAGTACTTGCATCAAAGACTCACCGAACACAATTCGTTAGTGCATCGGTAGGCAGGGCGTGCCCATATTTAGAATTGATTAATTAGAACTGTACGTGTGGAGTGCCCGCTTTTTTCTTGTTGTATTTTATAGAAAAGGACTGCCAAACTCCCCACAGGCTTCTCGTCTCTAACGCCTCATCATCAGACCGTCGTTCAAACTATGATCTCGCCCTCTGCACTCTATCACTCTCTATCTGCCTTCCAAACCTACAAGCGTGTTCAAATTATTAGACTAAAGACATTTTTCGTAAAAGATATGCATTTTATTACAAGTTTATATTCATATGTGCATGTTACAGTCATACATTTCATACTTACTATTAGTGTATGTGCTATTGTTCTTAATCAACAACATTATCTTGTTGGGCATAATGTTTACCAACTTTTCACCTGAGGTTTTAATTTTATCGTCGCAGTACCAAATCTCCTCTAGTTCCATTATTTCTCGCATATTTCCTTATTCTTCTTTTGGTAATACTTCATCTATTTTCTATGGGGTTCACGTCAGAGATATTTAGTGGCCATAGTAACACTTTAACTTGCATTTCTACCAAATTTGTCTTCAGGGCACTGTCCTTCATCATATATACAATTGCCATCTTCATTAGGAAATCAATCTAATTTAGGGGAAAAGTTGCTTTTCAAGAACTGGTATTGGTATTGCCTCATTGTCCCTTCGACAATGTGCAATATGCCAGGACCTTTCATAGACATAACAATTAACAGCGTTTCTCTCCAGATATATCATGGAACGTAGGAAAGACATGCTTTAATCTAGTAATTTGGACACGTCTGTACTATCATTTCCTTCTGTCACCATTCTCTCCCACCCTTTTCAAAAAAATCTCTTCCAGCCTCCCACCTCCAACGGTCTTCCATCCCTACTATCGCTTTCTCCGCCCCCCTCCATCCTCCCTCCTCCGCTGTACAAAAGGCCGCTCCCGCCTCCGCCCGCGTCACTCCACCTCCTCCGCCATGTTGATCCTGACGTGGGCGCCGCTGTGCTTGCTCCTGGCCCGGGCCGCGCCGCCGGCCGCCGCCGCGCGCAAGGAGGAAGGGCTGAACGTGCTGGGCGGGGAGGACGTCGCTGCCAACCAGTACGACTACGTGGTGAGCGCCGCGGACAACTACTTGTTGTGTGGGAGGTGAAGATCTCATGTGGAAGCCACGTGACCTCCGTTAATAACACGACATTCATGTTGCACATTCCAGCATCTCGAGGAGGATTTATGAGGATCGTGATGAATGACAAAGGTTAAAGATGAGAGAAGATGAAAGTGTACACAGCACAAGAATGAGAAGTAGGAGTGTCAAAAATTCCCAAAGATTACCGCGGAAACTCATTCCCCCAGAAAATCCCCCCGGCTCGGTCGTGTGCGAGTACCAAGCTCTAATCGTCCATAGCTGAGTGAGTGACAATAACTGTCTGCTGAATTCCGCCACCTGGGTGTCATACTGACTAATAGTGTAGTAAACTGGTAGTCAGTAATGGAGATGGAGAATTAAAGAAAGAATTACACTTGCGATGCTAATGGATGTATTAAACCCCAATTGCTCACGTGTCTCTTCTAATAGAATGTAATATTTTTTTAAACAGGGCAAGGCTGAGTTTGAAACAGATCCCTACATTTACTTGAGTAAATGTTCTAAATGTTTAATCGAATAATTAAAACTTTCTAACTTATGGTATCCTTTATTGTCGCTTCTATGTAATAAAAACTGAATTTTCATAGAGATCAAATATGGAATTATGTTTGATTCGACAACTGGGTGTGTTGTGGGTGTGTTATCTCTGGTTATCACAACCCTTCGATCACTTTCGAAGATTAATATTCATTAAAAAGAACGTTAAGTCCCATTCGTCTCGGAAAACTTTTTTCAATATGTGGTGATGACATTGAAAATTATAAGAAAATAATCATGTAAAACGCCAGTCGTTTCTAGTTTTGTGACCACGACAAACATTTTTGTGTTTATTCAAATGAGGTTCAGCTTAGATAACCTTTGATAGCCATCCATTTAATGCTTCAAGACGTTTTCTAATAATTCAAAGTTTCCCAAAAAGTGCGTCTAAGTAATTGAAAAAATGGAAATCCAATTTTCCGATTTTTTAACGCACTATAAAATGGGAGGCCAGAAATAAAAATGAGTAAAGAAACAATTGAAAAAATAACCAATTTCACGCATACATTAAAATTATCATTTCTCTCTGATTTTTCTTTACACTTATATTCAGAAACCACAAAATATAAGATTTCCATTCAGTTTTTTTAACAGGTGGGAGTTTACAATACGCCGAAGAACTCTAGAACTTACTCCGTTTGCTCCGGGTCCATAATTAATGCTCATTGGGTATTAACTGCAGGACACTGTGTGGAAAAGTAAGTTTCGAAAGTATGTTTTTGGCTGATATATCACATATACTTGTATTTTGCGTAAGAAATCAAATGAAAAGTATAAACTTATATGTATATATCATTTAGTACAATATATACTGCATTTATATTTTATTACGAATAACATTTTTTATGTGGTATAATACTCATTTAACAGAGAGAGTGGTCTCCAATTGAGAAATCGGCAGAAAATCAGAAGCATTTTGAATTAAAAGCTATAAGAAATAAACTTAATTCATATTAATTACTGCAATTATACTACAATATTCTTTCACTTTTTCAAAGATTGTTTTTAGGATCACAAATCTATCATTTAGGAATGTAATAATTAAGTGCCAGTTTCACATGACGTACATGTGAAATGGAGTGTACATAAAATGTGCGTATGAATCAAAATTTGTGCTTAAATACATTTAGATTTGACCCTTATGTCATTCGTTTATTGTATTGTACGTATATGTCAAAAGTGTAGACCGCTAGTTTCTTAATCAGGGAATATACACAACAAATATTAATTATTTTGCTTTTTAGTTCAAGTCCCTCAACGCACGTGGTGGAAGTGGAAGCGGGGGCAAAATCTCTGGCAAACGCTCAGACTGTACGCGCAGAGAAGTGGTTCACCCACGAACGCTATCGGAGCCTTAAGGATACCACAACGCGCGTGTATTACGATATTGCCCTGATAAAGGTAAAATAGAATCCATGATGAAGATTGTTGATGATAAGGAAAAATCCACGTCAAAAATCATTGATGTTCTTCACAGATGCTAAAATTAATATATTTGTAGTCACCTAGAATAAAAAAAATTGCGGTTATTTTTTGGTGTTTTAATTAATTAGATATTTTTAGGAAAAATTCCAAATTCTACATGAATATTGGTCTATATTATCATATGGATCTGCAACGGTGCAAAGTTGTGGTTGATGTACGAGTATAATTTTATAAACTTTCATTACAATTTTTTATTGTTCAATTCAAAATTTTAGCTATTGCATGCTTTATTTTTCCCTCATAATGCTCAAATTGTCACCTTTGACTAATTATGATATTCGTAGATAACATACGCCTGTTAACATCTCCCCTTTGTTAATTGCAGCTTCATGACTCAGTGTTACAAGTCCGCAACACAGCAATCGCCACGTTACCGTCTTCGGGGAGAGACGATCCTGGTCGAAGCTCTACAGTCGAAATCGTTGGCTTCGGAACAGAAGTAAGAAATATAGTTTTTAAAGAGTTCCATTCCAACTACGAGGATAAGATGAATGAACTTCCGAATTATGTAGAACGATCTATGACGACACAACCGCTTTTCTAGGGACAAGGCAGTTTAGCAACCAAACGAAAAGGTATCTTGAAGAAAGCAGAAATGAAAGTGCAAGGTACCTGCCGAAACACCTTACCTTCATCGTACTGCATCAAAGTTGTAGATGCCACCGGAAGATCATGTCCTGTAAGTACCTTTAAGTTATATGTATTTGAAATATGTGATTTTTTCTTATTAAACGTTAATTTTATATAAGTTGTTTCTATACTTATTGCGTTATTGTCATACGAAATAAGTATATTTTCATATTTAAAAAACGACTTTATGCTATTTTGTTTTAAACATCACGTACTCAAGATTCATAATAGACGCAATGAGATGTACTATTAATAGTAAAACTATAATAATAATAATAATAATAATAATAATAATAATATTATGAGTGTGAGAGCAATACTATCAAATACTTTCTGACAGTGTTATTATTTAAAATTGGAAACGACACCTCCAACAGATGATTTTGAAAAAAATGTTTTAGATCACAAATAGATTGAAATGATCAAACTTCTACATTAAAGGAGGAGAATAGATTTTTTTGATTTCTTGAAGACCGTGATAAATTATTTACACAGATTTGTAATGGAAAACGCATTTCATATTTGGAATGACGTTGAGCTGAGGAATTAAGACAAAACATGAATAGTTTGTTAGTTGTTAATAATGTTCACTGTAAAGTTAATAACATTTTTATCAGTTTCGGACGTATTTTTCACCGCATTTTATGCGGATATTATCGCTAGCATTACCAAAGGGGACTGTCCCCGACGTTCACCAATTATTTAGGAAACTAGAAATCATTTATATTCTTTTTGATTTTCTATTGTTCAAAATATGATAAAAATTATTATAAGTGTTTGTGATAAATTGTGTTATTACAGGGTCTTTGTCTGCGTGTAGACGGTGATGTATTGATTAGTTTTAATATCCGAGTGTGACGTGATGTTACAATACGATCGAGGAACGAGCGATTATCGTAAACTTCATACAAGTTTATTATTACCAATTACATTGATTTGCGTATAGTACGATATTTCTGCGACTAATGGTAACTTTTACTATAAAAGGTTGGAAGCAGGCTAGCAGTATTTAGCCAATATCACCTAGCTGAATGCTACCCAGATGTACCATTGACTCATGTTAAAGCATCCATATCGACTTCAAACGACCAGTTCACGAGTTACGTTAGTTTTCAATTTGTAAAAGAAATACCATGAAGCGCAGTACCTATTCTTATTTATAATGAGCCTAACAACTGACATACCCATAGGATATTCCGTATTTTGATTTTCGTCTAGGTTTTTGAAACTGAGAAAAGCATGTCTATTTTACCGTCACAGTTTTTATGGGGAGAACATCTGCGATTTATCTACCCAGTTATTGTCTCGGCACACAGACACAGAGAAACATTTAATAGAACGATTACCAATGATAAATTACTTCTCAAGGGTCAACGTCTCTTCGATTTCTCCCACACCTGTACTATAATGAGGCTGTTTCATAATGACTATCATTATGCACGAGCTGCATCCGTCTAATAAGAAAATAACACAATGTGACCGGGAAAATATTTGAGGCTTTTCTACTGAAGAAGAGAACCTTAGTGGACATTTTGAGAATATTTGAAATGTTGAAAATCTTAGTGTAATATAGTTTAATACATTATAATTATAGTATTATATGCATTATAATTATAGTATAATATAGTTTAATACATTATAGTCTCGTGACGTAAAATAAGGCAAATTCAATTCAATTCAATAATTTAGTGACCGTCGTCTGTTTATCTGATATAAACATGTAATAGTTTTTGACAGTTGATACTGATAGTCATGAGAGAAAATTGTTTTGTTTTTTTTCGTTTGCAAAGCCAAAAATTGAATAATATTTTTTCTTAAATAATAAATATTCATATTAATAATAATATACATTTAAGAATTTATAATAATTGTCAAAACAACAATAAAATCAAAATGTAAGCTGTGAACTCCGAATGACCCCTCTGCATTGGAAATGCAAGGGACAATTTGTATCTTGGTATTCCTTATAATTCTAGAGGCAGGGGACTCTGCTCCATTATTTCTTGGCGCGCGAGAACAGTCTAGTTCTTCATGGCGACAGGCAGCTGTTCGCAAATGAAAACAAAATAGCACCACGCGCGCAAACGAGACACAGTTGCACAAACACTTGGCGACTACGATTTCAAAGGTTTTAGCGAAAGGACATCTCTCACATGCGAACTACGAGCACGAACATACGACATTTCTCACATGCGAACTCTTAAAGAGAAAGAAACGAATATGAATTGCAAGATTATCAAATTGAAAAACACGCTCTCCAATGTTGTATGTATTGCGTAACGAATACGTTCCCCATATTGTATCCAAATATGTTAGGAGTAAACGAGCAGGGAGTTGTTTTTTTATACGGATTGAAGAGATACAGTTAAGAGACTTAATGGGAGGTGACAGTCTACTGTCGAGGCAATAGGTGGTTGTGCTCGGCCTAGGATGCCTCTTCTTTTGTCTCGAAAAACATCCACAAGTGGGTACGGATAGCTCCCTGCCCTACTGCTTTTGCACTGCCTGCAGTGGGCATTGGCAAGCTAACTCTCGTGTAAATTGTGCTTTTGATTCAGCAGGGAAGCCGATGGGCTGAACTCCCTCGGCCCAGCCAATAATCTCGAAAGATTTCTTCCGTGTTTTAAGTATGCGTACGTCATGCAAAATTCCTGAACTGGAGAGCTATGGACTCATCTTGCAGTGCCAGGAGTGTGTATGAGGGAGAAAGAGGAAGAGAGACATGGAAAGTGGCAACAGTAGGTACATTAAAAAAAGACAGGGAGGAAAAATGACAGACGAATTAGGAGGGCATGGGATGGAGCAATAAAATGAAGAGAGAATGGGGGTAGAAAAAGCGAGAGGGGAATTTAGGAGGACTAGAGGGGATGGGGAGGGGAAAGTAGAAGAGTTATTATAGAAAAAGTGATAGGGCAAGACAAAGAGGCTTGGAAGAAGAAAGGGGCAGTGAAGAAAAGGGAGAGGTAGTAAAGTTCGATGGGGAGGGAAGAAAAGATTGTCAGATAAGGAGACGTGTACCGGAAAGGGAACAGGGGAAGGGAAAGAGAGATGCAAGGAAATAGAGGGGCAAGGAAAGAAGGGGTAGGGAAAGAGAGGGGCAGAGAGAGAGAGAGAGAGAGAGAGAGGGGCCGGGAGACAGGCATGAAAAGAGAGGGGTAAGGAAATAGGAGGTCAGAAAAAGAGAGGGTTCAGGAAAGAGAGAGACAGGGGAAGTTAGAACAAGAGGGGATAGGGGAGGGGAAAATAGAAGAGTAAGGATAGAGAATGTGATATGGCAAGTCAAAAAGCAGCTTAGAAGAAGAAAGGGGCAGTGAAGGAAAGGAAGAGGTAGTAAAAGTTCGATGGGGAGGGAAGACAAGATTGGCAGGTAAGGAGATCTGTACCGGAAAGGAGGCATGGGAAACTGCGATGCAGGGAAAGAGAGGTGCAAGGAATGAAAGGGGCAGGGAAAGAGAGGGGCAGGAAAAGAGAGGGGGGAGATAACGTATAGTGAGGGGCAGGGAACGAGAGAGGAAGAAAGAGGGAGAGAGAAGAGTGCGTAGGTTCTTCAATGCCTTCGTTTCTTCTAGGGCGATTCCGGCGGACCTATGGTGTACCGCGGCCGCGTGGTGGGCGTGAGCTCCACCGGCAATCCATGCACAACAAAACGCGGGGACGCGCAGTACACCAGGGTGTCCAGTTTCCTCGACTGGATCAACCAGAAGATCCGACAGGAGTGAACGAGGCACCATTTACCTCCATCGCCACCCTTTCTTTGTCTTTTCGTCTGCTACCAGAGTGATGGCAGCAACAATGCGATACTGGCATTTCTAGGCCAGTGCTGTTGTAAGCATTTGACCTATTCGACTATCTACAAAACAGTTGTTCATTATTTTTGTAACAACAGAATTAAATTAAAATATGCTCTTTTTAAGTATAAAATTATCGCACGAGACTTTATTTTATATTCTTAAACGAGGAAATCCCTCCCAAATATCTTGTATAAATTTGGAAACATCTGTGTGTCTTTCAGAATTGAAAAAGTACCACATCTTTTCTGGCATCTGAATAATATGTGATTTCCCATGGTTATCCTACTCAATCATACATTTATTAGTCGAGGATATCATACTTTTTTTAAATAAAGTCGAGATTTATGAAGAAGTAGAAATAATCTAGAATGATGTATCATATTCCATAGATTTTCTATAAAATAGAAAAAAGTAACTAAGCTTTCCTCATGGAATGTCAAAGTTGCAATAATCCCGCGGGTCCATTCAAAAGCCCTCTTCACGTATTTACGTGATTTCATCGACACTAACTAAAATTGTAAGTTACCAAAAAATCCAAACACCCTAAAGATTAAAAGAACTTTTCTGAAGTGTAACCGTTGTCAAACAATATCTCAGAGGAGAATAGGGAGGCCCAGAAGAAAGGACAGGAGTACTACAAGTGAAAACAGCTCTCCTTTTTTACAAATATATCAAAAGATCATCTATATTGTGTACCTCATTTACACGGGGTGGTGCTGCTAAATCTAATATCAATATAGTAAAAACCATAGCAAGTAAAAGTATTCGGTGTATTTTGGTACTTTTTAACAAAAAAATCCACTTTGTATTAAAATCATTTCCGGAATTTCGATCATAATCTCTACCTGGAAGTGTACAATATAAACATAGAATTATTTTTTGATAACGAAACAGCGGGTATATAATTAAACTCTTATGTTGAACCACACCGAACAAAAATAATTAAACCCAGATTTCTCAAAGGCACATTTTTGCCACTTGAATTTAATATAAAACATTTCACCCAACAAGGCAATAACTTAACTGAGATATGTTTTCTTTTGTCATATACTACATCGTCGAGAGGGTTTTCATGTGATTCACTCAAATAGAACATATTTATTGTAAAATATTCCTTAATTGTAAAGTTGTTCTCTTGTAATGAACCTAAGTGTTGATCTCGAAGAAATGAACTGCCTAATATAATCTAAAAAGCTTGGCAGAATATACATATCTCACCGCATGCACACATTATGAAAAATTATTACATATTCCTTCTCATAAAAAGGACTATAAATGACGTTTTCCGCAAATTAATACGATTCAAACGTCGTTAATATTTATATTCTGTAAATTTTCTACACATAATTGCATTTGTGAAATCAAGTCCTTCAAACTGTATCTTATCAAGCATGCCATGTTTTGACTTTTATTATGATTATACTATTTCTATCATACGGTTTAATTAATACTTACAACGGTTTAATTAATACTTACAAAATGTCTCTATAGTTTTCTACCATTCCATTAAATTTAACTAAAATTTTAAATAAGAATAGTTATTTATGTTACGAGAGGCAAAAGTAACATATTTTACAAGTACGAACGGTTGCGAAATGAAGACGTTAGGCCGAGTGGTGTAATTTTACGAGCCAAATAAAAATACCCTTACCGCATCTCATACGCCGCTTTTTAGGCAACCTTACTTAATTTCATTTTATTTGATTCTATGTCAGTTTCATACAAATCATTTATTGATAATTTAGGAACGAAGTGTTTTTATTTCTTGCTGCATTCACTGACTTATCAGAACAATTGAGTATATTTTGCATAGTGCTAAAATATTAACTTCTAGAACGTCACGGAATCCTTAAAGGGCCGATTCTGTCTATTAAAAATATTATTTTAAATATGGGAATATTTTGTACCGACGCAGGCAAAAACTAACTTTTATTCATTATAATTTTAATAAAATTTGTCATATACATTATAAAGTTCACTTGCAAATATTGATTTATGAGATTACTCTTTTTAACTCATGTTTTGATTGTATTGATTTTGAGGCTTTTATATTTGTAACCTGTGATAAGAACAATCGCAGTTTTATTTAAGAGTTGTCGCAGTACGAACAAAATAAATGTGTTAAAATACCTGATCCTGTCATTCTCGATATTTATGACAAGTTATATCGGCCAAAATGCAATAAAGAATCGAAGTGTATCTCACACAAGTATGAAATTAGCAATCATTATCTAAAAAGGAAAATACCGAATATGATATTTCAGATACATTTATTGAAAGCGTCTCCAACGTATTATTTGAAATTCAAAATAGTTCGATTACCGTGACCCTGTTCAAATTATCTCATCCATTTCAAAACATGTTCCTTAAGTACATAATTACTACAATTGATACCGCGTATTTGATATTATTACTATTATTATGATTATTGTGGTTAGTTTCATAAGTGTCTGCATACACATGTGTGCTTCATTGGGATAATTTCTAAAAAATAAGTACGAGAATTCTAACATGCGCAATGTAATGGCAGTTGTAAATTCGTTCACCTCTTTCAAATTCCTTGATGTGTTCTTTACATGTGTTCGAGTGATATAAATTTAAAACAACGACAACATTTTGTGGAAATTGTTCGACTATTTTGGTCCACATTCATGCTCGCAACTATTCCCACTTTATCCCCACTTCCAGACGTATTCACGAACTTCCCGGCCCCTTTTCTTTCAGCCATGTCCATCCCATCCTTCTCCCGATACCCCTCCTCCCGATCATCTCTCTCGCCCTCCGTCCCCTCCCGCACACCCTCCCGCCTCCCTCCCCCCTCCCCCCCGCCCCCTTTCCCCCCCCCCCGCCCACTCCCGTTCCCCTCCTCGCTCTCCCTCCCATGCGCCCCTCCCGCCCCTCCCGTCCTCTCCTCGTCCCCTCCAGTCCTCCCCGCCCCTCGCCGTTACGCACCTCCCGTCGCTCCCCCTCACCCTCCCGTTTCCCCTCCCGTCCCCTCCGTCCCCGACCCGTTCCCCTCGCCCTCCGGTCCCCCTCCCTCCAACTCCCGTCCCCTCCCGTCCCCTTCCGTCCCCTCCCCCGTCCCCTCCGTCCCCTCCCGTCCCCGTCCCGTCCCCTTCCCTCCCCTCCCGTCCCCTCCCGTTCCCCTCCCGTCCCCTCCCGTCCCCTCCCCGTTCCCCTCCCAAACCACGCCCCTCCTCTTCCGTTTCCTGTCATATCTTTCTCGTTTCCTCCCATTCCATCCGGTTCCGATCCGTCTCGCTACCATGCCCGACCGCGTGCTCTATCATTATTTTTTTGATTCGCCACATACTCTATCATAGAGCCTAGAGATATTCACCCCTACAGATCTTGCCATCGTTTTCACTTCAGATGTTCGCCACCAACATTTCCGGGCTTCAGTGCAAAAACCATTGTATTACCACCGTCGCCACCGTAGGCTAAACCCACTACGACCGCCTCTCCCTCCCCTCTCCCGTGCCTCCTGTTTCATAACTGCCCCGCCCCCGCGTCGGCCCCCGTTTTTCCTCCTTTCCCCACCATCGTCTGCTCGCCCCACATAAGGTCGCTGCTGCCGCCGCCCGCGCCACTTCGCCGCCTCCGCCTCCGCCATGCAGTTCCCGGCGCGGGCGCCACTGTACTTGCTCCTGGCCTGGGCCATGCCCTCGCCCGCCGCCGCCGTCATGAACGGCAAGGACGGCGCCCCCGCCAACGAGTTCGACTACGTGGTGAGGAGATAGCACAAGCACTTCACGCGTAGTTTTTATTTAATTATTTATTTATTCATTATAGCCTAAATATATCCCGTTAAGAGCCTAAACCTCCTGCTCCACATGGGGTGAAGAATTGTTTGGTCCTTCTCCTAGCTTGACCCGAAAAAATGTTTATTTTCTCAGTTCTCGAGTTGATCCAACTTTAATTACAATAATTCAACAACTACAAACACTTTACTGATATAACATACACAGAATTATGAGCAAGAAACCCAAACACTTCACAAGAGTATTTTCAACACTTCACCAATAACAATGAAATTGAACTGTTTTTTCTTGATTTGCTATTAGTTGAGGATCTTGATTAGTCCATCGATTTAATATCAAGCGCGCATTATTCAAAGGTTACAAATACGCTACGACAGTTATGAAATGTCAAATAAATTACTTGCTTTCGGACAACTTCCAAATTTACATAAAATTACATTTTCTTGTTCATACTTTTCTTGTTCACACATCTATGAGATGCTGCCTTATTCTCATACAAAGAAAAACTAATTGCATTTTCCTTTATTTTGCAAGAAAACACAAAAATACTACGGAATCTCGTAAGAAAACGACTATGGAAATCATCAGTGAAGTTTTTAGATGCTACAAGTACACTTTTAAATAATAAAAGTATTATAGATTTATAATCATAAATTCTACATTTAATTAACATATTAATTCACTCTTGTCATTAAATTGAGAACAAAGCCATTGGTTGAATCGACAAAATTTTACTAACTGCTCTTAATAATTTATTGATGATTACATTATATTATTTGGTGAACATTATTTGTATTATTTGTGGAACACTGGAAGAAAGTATAATTGAAAGGTACTTAAGAAAACCTGTAGGTTTAATGAGATAACAAAGGTTTGTTTATGGGTGGACGCTCATTGTTGGGGTTGTTGCAGGTTGTTCCCGTGTTCACTAATTGTTTTCTTTACTCATTGATAGATCGTAAATGTAAACTGCCCATACATTTACAGGTTGTATGCAGGTTGTACCCGTAAATTGCTAGAAACATTAGTCCCGTGTGTAGTGCAGTGTGTAGTGCAGTGACTACTTCACCCCGGAAAGTGGTGGTGTTCCTCCACGCTGGATTGTGAGTTACGACGCCAACCTACTCGTTGTCTTCCGGGCCTTTCCTCTAGGTATCTTCCCCAGCGGAGCACCATCCCTGCCGGGACAAGCTCTGAACTGCCGACTGGTCCCCTCGACGTGTGTGTGGTAGCGTAGTGCAAGTAGATGTAGGTGTGCAAGAAGTCAGGATACGACATGGAAGAGGAAGGAAAGATTGCGCACAATCTGATAGGATACTACTCCGGCATTCTCCTGGTATTGATCGAAAAAACC